TTTTAAATAAATTTCTTCAAGGACCACAAGGCGTGGATTTTTTAAATAAATTTCTTCAAGGACCACAAGGCGTGGATTTTTTAAATAAATTTCTTCAAGGACCACAAGGCGTGGATTTTTTAAATAAATTTCTTCAAGGACCACAAGGCGTGGATTTTTTAAATAAATTTCTTCAAGGACCACAAGGCGTGGATTTTTTAAATAAATTTCTTCAAGGACCACAAGGCGTGGATTTTTTAAATAAATTTCTTCAAGGACCACAAGGCGTGGATTTTTTAAATAAATTTCTTCAAGGACCACAAGGCGTGGATTTTTTAAATAAATTTCTTCAAGGACCACAAGGCGTGGATTTTTTAAATAAATTTCTTCAAGGACCACAAGGCGTGGATTTTTTAAATAAATTTCTTCAAGGACCACAAGGCGTGGATTTTTTAAATAAATTTCTTCAAGGACCACAAGGCGTGGATTTTTTAAATAAATTTCTTCAAGGACCACAAGGCGTGGATTTTTTAAATAAATTTCTTCAAGGACCACAAGGCGTGGATTTTTTAAATAAATTTCTTCAAGGACCACAAGGCGTGGATTTTTTAAATAAATTTCTTCAAGGACCACAAGGCGTGGATTTTTTAAATAAATTTTTTCAAGGACCACAAGGCGTGGATTTTTTAAATAAATTTCTTCAAGGACCACAAGGCGTGGATTTTTTAAATAAATTTCTTCAAGGACCACAAGGCGTGGATTTTTTAAATAAATTTCTTCAAGGACCACAAGGCGTGGATTTTTTAAATAAATTTCTTCAAGGACCACAAGGCGTGGATTTTTTAAATAAATTTCTTCAAGGACCACAAGGCGTGGATTTTTTAAATAAATTTCTTCAAGGACCACAAGGCGTGGATTTTTTAAATAAATTTCTTCAAGGACCACAAGGCGTGGATTTTTTAAATAAATTTCTTCAAGGACCACAAGGCGTGGATTTTTTAAATAAATTTCTTCAAGGACCACAAGGCGTGGATTTTTTAAATAAATTTCTTCAAGGACCACAAGGCGTGGATTTTTTAAATAAATTTCTTCAAGGACCACAAGGCGTGGATTTTTTAAATAAATTTCTTCAAGGACCACAAGCCGTGGATTTTTTAAATAAATTTCTTCAAGGACTAGTTCCCCACAAGGCGTGGATTTTTAAAAAAAAATTCTTTAAGGACTAGTTCCCCACAAGGCGTGGATTTTTTAAATAAATTTCTTCAAGGACTAGTTCCCCACAAGGCGTGGATTTTTTAAATAAATTTCTTCAAGGACTAGTTCCCCACAAGGCGTGGATTTTTTAAATAAATTTCTTCAAGGACTAGTTCCCCACAAGGCGTGGATTTTTTAAATAAATTTCTTCAAGGACTAGTTCCCCACAAGGCGTGGATTTTTTAAATAAATTTCTTCAAGGACTAGTTCCCCACAAGGCGTGGATTTTTTAAATAAATTTCTTCAAGGCCAATTAGAGCACAAAGCGTGGACTTTTTAAATAAATTTCTTCAAGGACAATTAGAGCACAAAGCGTGGACTTTTTAAATAAATTTCTTCAAGGACAATTAGAGCACAAAGCGTGGATTTTTTTAAATAAATTTCTTCAAGGACAATTAGAGCACAAAGCGTGGATTTTTTAAATAAATTTCTTCATGGACAATTAGAGCACAAAGCGTGGATTTTTTAAATAAATTTCTTCAAGGACAATTAGAGCACAAAGCGTGGATTTTTTAAATAAATTTCTTCAAGGACGATTAGAGCACAAAGCGTGGATTTTTTAAATAAATTTCTTCAAGGACAATTTACATAGCCTATAAAACACGAATAGAATCCATTTTCCCATTGTGAATATTTTAAAGCCGCATAACCACTTATGAAGGACTTTGCGAACAACATTTACCAAATGGCCAAACTTATTTACCAACTTCGATATAAATTGCCTACCTTTGCTTATTTATGACGCAGAGAAAACGCAATAAAAATTCCCCCTGTTACCATTCAATCAATATTTATGGTTAGCCATTTCAGCCAATCTATTTATTGATGGCTTTAAGGCTTTAAATTAACTTTTCTTTTGATAACGGAAAAAAGAAGGAAACTAATTTCCCGCTTTTTTATCTCTCTCTCTCTCTCTCGTTCTCTTTCTATTTATTTATAGACTTTTTCATTTTGAAAACCATTGCCGGGCTAGCTAGCAGCTACGTGAACACAACAACAATCAAAAGGAGCAATAACAACCGCACGAAGAAAACAAACTGTGTGTTTATTGGCGAAAACTTTTGTTGTAATGACGCATAATGGCTGGTAGCCTTCAAGGGCCGCCCTTCAAAACTCCTTCACAGTGCATACGTAATTCAGCGAAAAGCGATTGTCAGGAATCAGCACCCAACTTAGTGGACTTATTGCAACGTAGGCGCCAGCAACATCAGCGTCACAGCCATTACCAGCATTTTCATCAACTACAGCACCAGCATAGCGGCCAACAAAGTTGTAAAAAAATCCGACACCCAGAACAGCAACGTAAAGGGAAACAAGTAAAACATTGCCGAACTTTTTCAAAGCTGTCTAATGGTTGCATTCCACGCCTTGGCGGTTACAGCAACTATGTAACAGCCACTGCGGCACCTTCGTCGACGGCAACCGAACATGTCCTTGAGTCTATCGTTCAAATCACCTCCTCTAGGTTCAAAACATTGGCAAGTGATGGCACATATCTACCAGTGGTGAATCACAACAGCCAATTGTCTTCAACATTTTGCGTATCAGCTAAATTGTTTCAATAAACTTAAACCACCACACCCCAACCCACCACCCCTGACCCCTTCTACTATCACTACTACAATCATCCGACAACAGATCCACCGTCATCACCTTGACAACTCGTCCTTCTTTGTACACCCCATACACAAACGCAGACTAAATCATTATCAATACTATCAAATATCAAACTAATGTTCCAATGCTCCTCGAGGAGTTCAACGGTACGGGTAACAAAAACTACAACAACAATAACAGCAACATCATAGAAGAATGCCAGGGCAAAGGCCATCATCAGCATCATAATTGTAATGTGAACAAGTACAACGATCAAAGCTGTTTTATTGCAGATTTATTTACAACCACAACAACTACAAAGCGTAATTATACAAAAACAACAAGAGATTTACTTTAGACGTGAAGATCATCAACTACGTAGAAATAACCATAGAGTTCGATAACAACAACAACACGAAAAACCTGAAAGGATTTAATTGCAAACGGAACGGGGGAAAATGAAACATTGTAAGTACAAAAAAAAACTAAATTTTATATGATAGCCCTTGAAGAAAATTACTTAAAAAAATCCTTGTGGTTATGATAGCCCTTGAAGAAAATTATTTAAAAAAAATCCAGGCCTTGTGGTTATGATAGTCCTTGAAGACAATTATTAAAAAAATATTAAAAAAATCCACACCTTGTGGCCAACTAGTCCTTGAAATAAAATATTTAAAAAAAATCCACGCCTTGTGGCCTAATTGTCCTTGAAATGAAATATTTAAAAAAAATCCACGCCTTGTGGCCTAATTGTCCTTGAAATAAAATATTTAAAAAAAATCCACGCCTTGTGGCCTAATTGTTCTTGAAATAAAATATTAAAAAAAATCCACGCCTTGTGGCCTAATTGTCCTTGAAATAAAATATTTAAAAAAATCCACGCCTTGTGGCCTAATTGTCCTTGAAATAAAATATTAAAAAAATCCACGCCTTGTGGTTATGATAGTCCTTGAAGAAAATTATTTCAAAATTCCACGCCTTGTGGGTATGATTGAAATAAAATATTTAAAAAATCCTGCATTGTGGCCGAATAGTCCTTGAAATAAAATATTTAAAAAATCCTGCATTGTGGCCAAATAGTCCTTGAAATAAAATATTTAAGAAATCCTGCATTGTGGCCAAATAGTCCTTGAAATAAAATATTTAAAAAATCCACACCTTGTGGGTAGGATAGTCCTTGAAATAAAATATTTAAAAAAATCTACGCCTTGTGGGTATGATAGTCCTTAAAATAAAATATTTAAAAAATCCACGCCTTGTGGCCAAATAGTCCTTGAAATAAAATATTTAAAAAAATCTACGCCTTGTGGGTATGATAGTCCTTAAAATAAAATATTTAAAAAATCCACGCCTTGTGGCCAAATAGTCCTTGAAATAAAATATTTAAAAAAATCTACGCCTTGTGGGTATGATAGTCCTTAAAATAAAATATTTAAAAAAATCTACGCCTTGTGGGTATGATAGTCCTTAAAATAAAATATTTAAAAAAATCTACGCCTTGTGGGTATGATAGTCCTTAAAATAAAATATTTAAAAAATCCACGCCTTGTGGCCAAAAAGTCCTTGAAATAAAATATTTAAAAAATCCACGCCTTGTGGGTATGATAGTCCTCAAAATAAAATATTTAAAAATCCACGCCTCGTGGCCAAATAGTCCTTGAAATAAAATTTTTAAAAAATCCACGCCTTGTCGGGAAATAGTCCTTTAAGAAATATTTTTTTTTTCTTATTTTCTCTTTCCAGCAAATATTTTTATACACAAAGACATGATGGAATTTGGTTAATGGAAATGACTTGTGTTTGCCTTTAATAAGGAAAATAAAGCAGCAAAGCTTGCAGAAAAGAAAACTTTGAATAAGAAACAATTTTTAATAATAAACTCAACTATTTCTTCAGAATAAAACCGAAAAACATTAATTTAATTCCCCCCTATAAAAACCCAAAGGAATTAAATTTTCCTCAAACTAAAAACAAAAACAGACAAAGAAATCTTAAACTATTAAAAAAGGCTTTTGATTTGGTATCCCCAACCTCTTGGAAAAGATCATTGAATCAGAAACATTGCTAAATTTCTAACGGAGGAAGGACAACAGTTTAATTCGTCGCCTATTTTACTTTACCCCTCATCACCCCCGTCATCAACAAAGCCTAGTTAATTGCCTTAGACAGAAAGACAACAAAACGAGTGCCACATTGGGTCACTCAGGGCGGCGAAGGCAACGGCGCTCACCAATCCACGTGCTGGGGCCATGGAGCCGCCTGGCGGTGTACCGCCAGATAGAGATCGTCAATTGGTATTAAAACAGATGGTGACATTTCATGAACGTCCCGATGCCAGTCTGTGCGGCAAGGGTGGCACCCCAATTCCCACTACAGCTGTCACTCCCAATCCGGCATTTGCCTCAACGGCCACTGCATATTCGGCCACAACGCAGGCTGCCACGGCCTTCAGTGGTTCATCGATTGGTCATGCCTTGGTAAAACATCATGGTGGTCCGGCACAACATTCCGCGGCATCGTTGCAGGGCAACTCGTCGGGTTCGTCGCCATCACAACAACATGGCAGTGGTAGCAGCAGTAGTAGTAGTTCGACCACTTTACAGTCATCAACATCGACTGCAAGTGGTAGTACCACGCAACAGCAAACGTTAGAGAAGCTGTCGAGGCCCATGGCATTCGATAAGGTAGGTGAAAAAACGTATACATTTTTTTAATTATTTTTTATTAAAAATAAATTTTAATTAATTAAAATATATAAAACTTAATTGAGCTCCTTGAGGTTTTTATTATCTGAGTTATTTATAAAGTGGCAGGAACAAACTTGCACCACACCCTGTCCCTTGACATCATTGTCCAAATCATATTCACCCTGTTTGTTTGATTTATCATTCCTTGAAATGTGCTTACTATGGTGTATGGGACTATAGAAATCGTCGTCATCGTTCAGAGAATTTCCTACATTATCGAATAGATCATCACTTTCTGCCGAGAAGCGGGATCTAAAATTATTTCTCGTTTTAAAATGTTGTTGTTGATTGTCTTGAGATAATTCGATTGAATTGGCTACATCGGAATGTGGTTGCTGTTGAGAATATTCAACTGGATCAGTATCTGAAATTTTGAGAATTTTAAGAGGCATTGTCCACTAAAAGTATGAAGAAAAAGGAGAAGGATATCGCAAGGGTACCGCCACTTGTCGCTATTTTAAAGATTCCCTGGTCTTGGAGTACCTAATTAGGTACTTTAATTATCCGAGGTCAAGCGGATATTCCCAGTGGTGGGAAAAACGTACTTTTAAGGTCCAGCACATTTTATTTTTAAGTAGGTTCCTGCAGAGGAAGGTTCCTCTCCAGTTTGGGAATTAATATGGCTCTTGTCTCAATTTCGAAGGGATATGACTATTTGTGAGCATTTCGTGTTTTCAGATAAATTTCAATATAGGTCCTTGTTTTAACATAGCCCCTCCTCCCTATGGGACCAGCACAATTTTAGTCATTTTAGTTGTCCTAGGCACAATTTTCAAACGATGGCGGTCTCTTGCGAATAAACCAACCCAAGTGACTATAAGTGGGCGTTCCTGATAATCAATCTGAAATAGCCACTATATAAAGGACCCACCCATATATAGATATTTAAGCTATAATCATGCTAACCTCATTTTCATAACTGTAAAAAAATAGGAAGACCACTTTGCAGAAAATTACCAATATCGGTCCGTATTTTTAAAATGTTCAGTTCCGTCCCATTTTCGGTACTTTGATGGTCCAAGGCTCATCATTCAAACGAAGAGACTACAAACGAACGTTTCGGAGTTTTTATGGGTATATAACATATTGGATTAAAATGTTCGGTACAGGCCCGTTCCGTCCCATTTTTAATACTTCGATGGTCATAGGCAACCGAAGTGAATATAAATGGTTATTCCGGGATTTTGGAGGGTAAACAACATATCGTATCAAAAGGTTCGGTATTGGACCATGTTATGGTCTGTGATACCGCTACTTTTTCGGTATTAATTTGACGCTTCTCTACTTTTTAAGTCAGCATTTCCGATTCTTCGAGAATAAAATACATATTTGCAGAAAATATCCCAATTCTGTCCCATTTTAGGTACTTTTATGGTCCTAGGGCCCATCCTGGACCAAATCGCTTCAGACAATTTGGAGACGACTTGCAAGTGTCCGTTCGTCTGTCTGGTTGACTGGTGCGCATGATAACTCTCCAAGGGAGTAACCGATTTCATCCAAACTTTGCACATTGTAATATTTTAAATCAAGTTCGAAGATGAGGCTCACTCCCTCCGGTATCTCCCCCAAAAAATGGATGAAATGTTGCTGAAAAATATTTTTATATTATAAGGCGAACGGACTATCCAATTTTAATCATACTTTGTACAACCTATTATCATTACCAATCCTATATCATGTCCGAATATGGGACCCAATGGTCCACTCCTTCTAGTACCTCCCTCACAAGGAGTCAAAATTTTCAATATTAATAAATCCAATATCAAGCGAATGTAATGTCCGATTTTAACCAAACTTTGCAAAACCTATTATATGTACCAAGCCTAGATCAAAAATCCGATGGAATGGCCCGTCGGAAGTCTCCTTCTGGTACCTTCCCCACAAAGAGCCAATATTTTCAAAACTTCGTGTTTAAACATTTCTTCGTATAACAGGTCCATATTTTCAAATAAAGGCCTAAATTTGAAATAAAGGAATTTATCTAAGCGATATACCAAAAATTAGTCATTTTGTTAATAGACTCCAGTCCTTATTTCGACGTAGTCCTAAATATAAGGATCCTGCTCAAATTTAGAAATGTTGAATTCGCATTTTATTGTGCAGGGAATAAACGTTCGACACGACCTAAACAAAATTTGTATTACCCCGACCAGATTTTCTAAGCAATACACTTTCCATAGATGATAAATCCATTCTAGCACACAATTTACAATACCCATATTTCGATAAATTTCACACATAAGTGCTCTCTCCACATTTCAATATATCTGAAGTCCACATCATTGTTTTGGACCATGATATGTGATCTACTTACCCATTCCCACATTATACCACCAAACATTTGCATAGCGCATCATTTGATCAAAGGGATTCAGTGAACCGCTGGTAATTGGTTGATCAGGGAGTGTAATATGAGCCCTTACAATATTGGCCGCACCAGGTTCGACAAACTTCGAATAATTTTTAGTAAATACATTTTTCATATAATCATCGCGATGATCTCGTTTCTGTAGATCATATTGTTCTGCAGGATGGTGAGCTTTGTCATTATTCAACGATGTCATTACCGTGTCATACAATGAATTGGAATCTGAAAATATTTTTTTCATGTTTTCACTGTTACAAAATGTTTGCCAACCCACCTTTAGGGGTTTCACTTTTTTGACCGCCTTTATCACCCTTCTTATTTTGAACCAGCACAAAATCCTTGGGTATATTTTGGCGATTGTACTCCTCCGTGGTGGCATTTCGTTTAATGCGTTTCAGTGTCGGATCCGGAGCAGCATAGCTCATTGAAACTGCAGGACAATTGCCATTAGAAATTATAGAGATTTTTAATATTTTGCTCTATTCCAAATTATGATCTTACCGTAGATGAATAAAATGATGATGCAGAAATATTTCATTTTAATTCAAAAAAATATATAGAGAATATATTGCTTCAGGGCAGAGGTAGTGTGTATAGTTTAAATAAATTTTCAGTAACAACTGATTGGGTTTTCAATGAAGACTTGTTCAAAAAATAATTTTCAGAAAGGTATAATAAGGAAAGGAAAAAATAATTTTCAGAATAACACTATCAAATTAAACCAGTAAGGAAAGTAGTAAATTCGGACGGGGCCGACTATATAATACCCTTCACCACTATGGGTATATTAAACAAATGCATCCTAATAGAAGGGCCATTAACATGAAATTGGATGAACTAAAATATGTGACCTTTATCTAAATGTGAACTGACTTAGATCAATCCTTAAACATGTCATTCGTTTGTTATAATGAGACAAAATTATGTAAATCGATTTAAAGCAAATATCAAAAATATAAAAATGCTCAATTGTGTACGTTGTATTGTATTGTATAATATTTCGTGTCAATATTACAAACATGAGCAGTTTCGTGCACCATTTACTTAAAATCGGATGAAAATAGATATGGTAGCTATATACAAATATGAACCGATTTCAACGAAACTTGTCACAGGTTAGGTTGTATTAATTTCAGTAGGTTTTGTTTCTAATGGCCATATTTTGGGTCCTACGTAAAATCGGACGAACATATATATGAGAGCTATATCTAAATCTGAACCGATTTTCACGAAACTTAGCACACGTCATTCTAGACTTAATTCAATACGGTATGCCAAATTTCGTGCAAATCGAAAGATATATAGGGTCTTTGCTACACCATATACCTTAAATCGGACGAAAATATATATGGGAGCTATATCTAAATCTGAACCGATTTTCATGAAACTTAGCACATATCATTCTGGACATAATTCAGTACCCTAAGCTAAATTTCGTGCAAATCGAAAGATATACAGGGACTTTGGTGCCCCGTTTACCTTAAATCGGACGAAAATATATATGGGAGCTATATCTAAATCTGAACCGATTTTCATCTGAACCGATCATCATTGGGGAACTAATTCAGTACCCTACGCCAAATTTATTGCAAATCGAAAGATATGTAGGGACTTTTGAGCTCCATTTACATTAAATCGGACGAAACTATATATGAGAGCTATATATAAATCTGGACCGATTTTCACGAAACTTGGCAGACGTCATTCTAGGCCTAATTCATTACGCTGTGCCAAATTTCGTGCAAATCGAAACATATGTAGAACTTTGGTACACCATTTACCTAAAATCGGGCAAAAATATATATGGGAGCTATATCTAAATCTGAACCGATTTTCACGAAATTTAACACACATCATTCTAGACCTAATTCAGTACTCTATGCCAAATTTCATGCAAATCGAATGATATATAGGGACTTTGGTGCCCCATTTACCTTAAATCGGACGAATATATATATGGGAGCTATATCTAAATCTGAACCGATTTTTCCCAATTTCAATAGGGTTCGTCCTTGGGCCAAATAAGTGACTTGTGCCAAATTTCATCCAAATCAGATCATAAATGCGGCCTGTACTTTTTTACAATTTAACATGGACAGACGGACGGACATGCGTAAATCGACTCAGGAAGTGATTCTATGCATATTCTCAAAAGGAACCATGGGCCTATCTCGTTTCCTTTTGCTTGTTACAAACATATGCATAAACACATAATACCCTGTACCACAGTGTTGTGAAGGGTATAAAAATCAACGCCTTATATTGGTCCTTAATAAAAATATTCTTTAAAAAATCCACGCCATGTATTGGTCCTTGAAAAAATATTCTTTAAAAAAATCCACGCCTTATATTGGTGCTTGAAAAAATATTTTTTAAAAAAATATATGCATTGTGTTGATCCTTAAAAAATACACGTCTTATGTTGGTCCTTTAAAAATGACTCAATTCGCCCCCCTATAAAATTATTCTATTTATAATTGTTTCCTGGCGTCAATTCCTTTTTCATAACAACTTGACATGCAGGCAAATAACATTGCATTTCTTCAATATTTCCACAATTGTTTTTATTATACCCTTGGCAGGGCTGATATAATTGTCCGCACACACACACACGTATTTAAAAAGCCTTTGTTATGAAATGAACTTAAAATAGCTGGGGTACTTGGAAATAATCCATTTGTATTTATATACCAATTAATAAACATCAACGTCATTGCGTCTTGGCATTTAACATTACAGCCTATACAACGGGCACCAGCACCACGTCCACCACGGCTTCTTAGAAAATAACATCCGGTCTTGGCTTAAAATCAATGGTAATTAAATCCCGCGTACACAGACGCACACACACACATCCATCTCTTTTGTTCAGGTTTACGGCAATGATGATAATAATGTATGCATAAGCGGACATATATGCGACATATTTTCCCCAGCTTCGTAATTTTCAACATCATCAACGTCGTCATAACGGTAACGTCAAACTCAATATCCATTCCAGCTACGACAACACATTCAAGCAATAAGTCCAAGGACTTATTGGACTGTAAGGACAACGACGACGATGAGAACTCATTGCAATTCCCATCAATTATCATTAATTAGGCCTTTCTATTCGCTCAAGCCTCAATTAGTTTTTTTTCGCTCTCTTTCATATTGATGGCTGGCAGAGGATAAAAAGCAGCAGCACTGAAAGGCATGAAGAAAAATCAATTAATGCAGAAAAAACAAATTATTTGCTGCACTTCGTATTGATTGACAATAATGTGAATATCAACGATATTGGTTTGAAGACGAAGAAGAAAATGGAAAACAACTAGCTACAGAGCTATATCTTCATTTTTTCCTCTTTCACTCATTATTCATAAATTCTGCACAGTGGATTGAGTTTGGTGCATAAGAAGTCCTTAAAAATATATTAATACCCTTCACCACACAGTGGTACAGGGTATTATGGCTTTGTGCATATGTTCGAAACAGGCAAAAGGAAACAAGATAGAGACATGGTTCCTGTTGAGAATATGTATAGAATCACTTTCTGAGTCGATTTATGCATGTCCGTCCGTCTGTAGATGTTAAATTGTAAACAAAGTACAGGTCGCATTTATAATCCGATTTGGATGAAATTTGGCACAAGTCACTTATTTGGCCCAAGGACGAACTCTATTGAAATTGAGAAAAATCGGTTCAGATTTAGATATAGCTCCCATATATATTTTCGTCCGATTTAAGGTAAAGGGGGCACCAAAGTCCCTCTATATCTTTCGATTTGCACGAAATTTGGCACAGAGTACTGAATTAGGTCAATAATGACGTGTGCCAAGATCCGTGAACATTGGTCCAGATTTAGATATAGCTCCCATATATATTTTCGTCCGATTTAAGGTAAATAGTCCACTAAAGTCCCTATATATCTTTCGATTTTCGTTAAAATCGGTTCAGATTTAGATATAGATCCCATATATAGTTTCGTCCGATTTAAGGTAATTGGTGCATCAAAGACCCTATATATCTTTCGATTTGCACGGATTTTGGTATAGGGCACTGAATTAAGTCTAGACTGATGTTGCTAAGCTTCGTGGAAACATCCATAGCTAGGCCTATTAATACAACGTACTGAAGTAAATTAGTCTCTGGCAAGATTCCCTGTATTCGGTTCAGATATAGATATATAATAAATAAGCTACGTCTGTTAGGATACATATGTAGAATATACCCAAAGTGGTGAAGGGTATCATATAGTCGGCCCAGTCCGACTTTACTACTTTCTTTACTGTTTTTTAAATAGAAAATTGCTACGGAAAATTTATTAAAAAAATTCATATCTTATGTTAGCCATTGAAAAATTGGCCGTTATTGAAAACAAAAAATCTTCATACAGGACCGAGAGTCATTGAAGCAAATGTGTTTAAAAAATCCTAGCGTCGTTTTGGGTCATTGGAAAAATTTCACTAAAAAATCTAGTTCTTCATCGGGTCATTGAAAAAAAATCTTTAAAAACTCCGCGACTTATTTGGGCCATTGAGAAAAAAATCTAAAAAATCCATTTTGAAAGACCATCTTCGGCAATGTTGTCTTCGACTTGATCTTTCCATCGTATTCGTGGCCTTCCCGTTCTGCTGGTTCGCTTTTGTATGCCTTCTGGGCTGGGGCATCTTCATCCATTCTCACAACATGACCTAGCCAACGCAGTCGCTGCAGCTCAATACGTCTAAAAATGTCGATGTCCGAGCATAGCTGGAACAACTCATGGTTCATTCGACGGCGATATTCACTGCAACGAAAAATGGCCCATAGATCTTTCGGAACATTTTTCTCTCAAACACTCCAAGTGCTGCCTCATCTGCCTGCGCAAGTACCCATGCTTCAGATCCATATAACAGCACGGCTAGTATCAGCGTCTTGTATAGTGTGAGTTTGGTCTGGCGGGAGGTGGCCTTGCTTTTGAGTTGTTTGCTCAGACCATAGTAGCATCGGTTGGCCATCACTATCCTTCTCCGAATTTCAAAACTGATGTCATTCGTTTTATTTATGGCGGTACCAAGGTATATAAAAACTTTGACTACCTCGAAACTGTAGTTCTCAAGTTCCACAGTTGGTCCGAGTCTACTGGACTTCTTGCGCGTTGATACCATCAGCCTGGTCTTCTCTCCGTTTTTACTGCCAGACCCCTTCTCAATTTGTTCAAAGGTGGCTGTTACCGCTCTTAATGTTCGACCCATTATGTCGATGTCATCGGCGTAGGCGAGTAACATGTATTGTTTGGTGTATAGATTGGCATTTCTGTTCACATTTGCCTCTCGTATGACCTTTTCCAGCAGGATGTTAAAAAGGTCACACGACAAACAGTCTGGTTCAGTATTAAAGGGCTTCGAGATGTCCTTTCGGATTTTAACTGCTGATCTTGTACCAGTTAAAGTTATCCTGCATAGCCGTATTAATTTTGCAGAAATGCCAAACGCAGACATGGCTTTGTACAACTCTAAACGGATAGGGCTGTCGAATGCGGTTTTATAGTCGACGTATAGATGGAATGTGTCGATGTGTTTTTCGTGGGTTTTTCCAGGATTTGGCGCAGATTGAAAATCTGGTCCATGGTGGATTTGCCAGGTCTGAAGCCACATTGGTATGGTCCAATAATGTCATTGACCATTGGCTTCAGTCGTTCACACAGTACGCTGGATAGCACTTTATATGCAATGGGAAGGAGACATATTCCTCTATAGTTGGCACATATCGTCTTGTCTCCTTTTTTGTGCGCGGGAGAACGCTAAGGTTCCAATCATTGGGCATGCATCCTTCTAGCCAAATTGTACTAATTAGCTGGTGTATGTTCCTTACCAGCATTTGACCACCATACTTGAATAGTTCAGCTTGTAACCCATTGGCACCTGCTGCTATATTATTCTTCAGCCAATTGACTGCTATTCTGACTTCATCTTGGTTAGGTGGTATACACTCTATACCGTCATCTATTATTGGTTCAGTATCCTCTTCAACGCTACTATTTGATACCGGAAGCTTTTCAAAATGCTCCTTCCAGATCCTCAGCACGCTGTCTGTATCAGTCACCAGGTTTCCTTCTTCATCTCTACCAAAGCCTTCGGTTTGGTGTTTTACCCGTTGGTAGAATTTTCGGACTGCATTCTGATTCGATTTGATCACGCTCACGTGTTTCTTTTTCTTTCTTCTGTTTCTGAAAATACATTTCTCCTCTCTCCTTTTCCCCCGATAGTTCTATACGCTGCGTTTTTCATATCAGTAGCATTACGACACTCCTGATCGTACCACGGATTTCTTGATGGTGGTCTTTGGTACCCAAGTGTTGCTTTTGCTGCAGTTTGTAGGAAGTGGCCATAGAATTCCATTGTGCTTCTATATTATTATCGGGACAAGGGGTGCTTTCGTCAAGCAGTTGGGTAAGTTGAGCGGAGTAGGCTTCTGCTTCTTTAGACTTTGAAAAAATATTCTTTAAAAATTCACGTTTGAGATAAACCTTGAAAAAGAGACCTAGAAAAATTATGATTTTAATGCCAAAATATGTTTAAATAAATCCAAGCTTCGTTGATCCCTTGGAAAATTATATCCATGCCTATGATTGGCATTTAAAAAAAAAAACAAAAATTGTCATTAAAAATTCACACTTTTCGGGGTTCTTAAGGAACCGACATTCTTGCGACTGTTGAAAAATGTTCATAACAAAATATCCTCGTTCTGTTGAACCATGTAAAAACATTGTTCAAATAGTCCACCCTCTATAAATCTCCTGGCGCTTAATAGATTTTCTCTTACTTCTTTCTAACACTGTCTGTTTTTTATTCCTTTTGTCGTAAAAGCTTTTGAGTGACAACAACTATGATGGCATCGCATCGTCAATGTCTACAACATCACCCTCACTGCCAGCAACTGCAGCTGAAGTTGATGTTAATAATGTTAGGGCAAGGAAAAAAACAAATATTGCATAAATGATTTTGCCTAACAAAATTTGCATTCACATTAGAATGAAAATCACATGCCAGATAGCAGCACAGTATGTAATACCTTTAGAATAAACTGATAACATAACAGAATGGCTGTGGCATGGTAGACGCTTAGGTAATACTTGTACCTGCTGGTGATCAAAGCCTAGACAAGCTCATAACACATACTCCCTTTTAATAACAACAAATATATAACCATAGTCTTATTTTAGCATAATGCAGTCTTACTACAATTTGGTTAAAATAACGGAAAATTTTATTGTAAATATACTTTTCCCAAGATATCTATTAAAGTATTTCTCTCTTTTTTTCAGATGGAAGCCCTAGTCCGAGAAATGCAAGATCCCGAACATGGAGTACCAGTAAGGCAACAAAAGATGTTTCTCACTTCCATTCCTTATGCCTTTATGGGTAAGTTCAACAGTTATTTCGCTATTGTATAACTCAGTTGCGTTTAATATTGTTTTTGTAGAATATTGAATATTGACACAGAAAATCAGACTTAAAAATGTCAGCATCCTTTTTGGGTGTTTGTTGTGGTTACATTGAAGCACGTTAGAATTGCATTACCTAGGAGGCAATTTTCCACTTAGTAGTAGTTTGGGATCAATAAATTTTTACAATTTTTTACATTACCACCAACACAACATCCACCCAAACTATTTTTTATTATATTAAATATAGGACATTATTTACAATACTTGGGAATGTCCGATTTGGACCAAATATGCACCGACTTGTTGTATGATTTGTTGCCATTTTAAAGGTAACTTCATAATGCCTCTCTCATAGAAGCCCTGCTCTCTATTTGCAAAAATCTCGATTAGTCAATTTTCACAATCCTCATTAGATTGTTTTCGATTTTTAGCACCTCGGCGATGTTACGGTCAACTTCGATCATTTCTAGGATTTTATCGACATTTTCAACTACCGGCCTACCTGTGCGAGCAGCATCTTCAACATCAAAAATTCCTGAACGAAATCTACGAAACCAAAATTGCACATAATTGGCTCTTACAATGTCGGAACCATAGACACAATTCACAATTTTAGCCGCTTGGCTTGCATTTTCGCATTTGTCAAAGAAAAACTGTAAAATGTACCGAATTTTCTCTTTGTTCACTTCCATTTTTAACACCCTGCAACTCACAACTCAATGCACCAAATAAAAACCAGTAAGGAAAGTAGTAAAGTCGGACGGGGCCGACTATATTATACCCTTCACCACTTTGGGTATATTCAACAGATGTAATCCTAACGGATTATAAATGCGAGCTGTACTTTGTTTACAATTTAACATCAACAGACGGACGGACATGCATAAATCGACTCAGGAAGTGATTCTATGCATATTCTCAAAATGAACAATGGGTCTATCTCGATTCCTTTTGCCTGTTACAAACATATGCACAAAGACATAATGCCCTGTACCACAGTGTGGTGAAGGGTATAAATACTAACATATACAAAATTTGCTACAATTTCCTGAACGAATACAGTAGGGTCGAAATAAGAAGGTGGTTTTGGAAGTGTTCACTCATATACAATCTGTACACATAAAGGCAATTTCAAGAACTAAACTCATACTGTTGTTATTTGATGCATCTATGGAGATTATGGATCAGTTGTTCATACACTTCAGGATTTTTGGATCGACGAAGTCCATATTGGATCAAGGTTTCCTGGACAATCTTAGCGGGAGAATCATTCGTGTTGTAAAAATATCGCTATGACGGAGGGTTCTTAATCATCGGCCTTTTCGAATTTAACAATTTCGCTTCGGCAATTTCAAGAACTAAACTCATGCTGTTGTTATTTGAGTGAGATTTTGGGCCAGTTGTTCATACACTTCAGTATTTTCTGATCAACCAAGTCCATATGGAATCTACATTTAAGGAAGACCCCTATGACCCTGACAAGGAAAGAAATGGGGGGGTTGTCATTCCTTAAATGAAGTTTATAATCCCAACTTTCAGGCATCTGTAGATTATTGCAATGATCGACTAATATTTTCTGGATCTAGAGGACTGTTATTAGTTGCTATACTGGTCGAAGCCGTAGAACCTGGCTAACGAATCAGTGTGTTTGGTCTTTTGACGATAGGTCAATATTACGAAATTGTCGATTTGCCAAACAACTGAAATATATAATTTAATAAACATCTTAAATACCAGTACGCCCATTAATCGGCATTTTAGGGATTTTGGATACGTTTTTAACCAAACTGTCTCTTATTTGATATTTCGGGTTTTGCTTGGTGCTAGCAAAAAATAGTTAATATCAGATCACGCTTTAAGATTTCACAGACATCAGATTCTATATTTTGTGTTCTACTGGCAGTGACTTCTTACGGAATAGCGCTCATATGTAACGCCGATTGACACTAAAAACTTCTAAAAACTTCGCCACGATGGATCTTAGCGATGTTTTTTCGTTTTAATATATCTGATTATCTTTCCATCAAAATAATCTCCTATCACAAATCATTAAAAATGAATTTTCCACCTTTCCACAGGTTACGATCTTATCGAATGGCTTATGGATCGCCTACAAATCGAAGAATCCGAAGCGCTGAACATTGCCAATCAATTGTGTTTGCATGGTTACTTTTTCCCCGTGAACGATTCCAAAACGCTGTCCGTCAAAGACGACTCTTCTCTGTATCGCTTTCAGACACCCTACTATTGGCCGTGGCAACATAAGGCACCCGATAATGTTGAATATGCCATCTATTTGGTTAAACGTACGCTGCGTAATAAACAACGTCACGCCTTGGAAGATTACGAAGTGGAGGCATTATCCTCATTACATAAAAATCTCAAAGGAAAATGGGAAATTATCTCGATGCAAGCTGAGGAACAAGTACGTTTGGCCAAGGAACGTAAGAAGGGTGAAAAAATTGTAGGTGACTCACAGGAGCGGGCCTATTGGCGAGTGCATCGTCCACCACCGGGACAATTTACACCATTGGAACCGTGTCCGGTGCCATCAAGAGATCGTCAGGGCACAAAGCAGAATAAAAAGAAAACCCTCGAGGATATGCAACGTGATGTAGATTATTTGAAAAAGTCCCTCAATCGTACACGAATGAAAATGTCACAGGCCTGTGAATCATTGGTAACCTATTCGGAAACATTTTCCGATTATGACTTTTTCCTACAACCTGTCTTGCCCTCAAATCCATGGGTCACCGAAGATACCACCTTCTGGCAGTTGAATAATACTTTTGTTGATATTCCAACGGAAAAACGGGTAAAACGTTGGGCCATTTCCATAGAAGAGTTGGTGTCAGACCCCACCGGTCTGCAGGAGTTCACCACCTTTTTGGAAAAAGAATACTCTCATGAAAATATACGTTTTTGGATAGCGGTAAATCGTTTGCGTAGGTCTGCTCACTCTCAGGTGCCACGTAAAGTCCAGGAGATATATGAGTAAGTAAAGGAAGAATTGCATTTAAGAAAAAATCGGATAATTTGTTTGTGCTTCTTTGCAGGGAATTCCTTAAACCTGGCGCTCCCTGTGAAATCAACATCGACGGCAAGACCATGGAAAGTGTTCTGAAGGGCCTCAAGAACCCCTCACGCTTCACCTTCGATGCCGCCTCCGATCACATCTACATGCTGTTGCTAAAGAAGGACTGCTATCCTCGTTTCATACGTTCCGATCACTATAAGCGTCTGGTGGAGACGGGCATCCAGCCCTCGCACAAGAAACGTTTCTTCAACTTTGGCGGTGTCAGTGGTGCCAAAAAGAAAATGACTGCCGCCTTGTCCAGCCAACCGAATCTGGGTGGCAACACAGAGTCCAGTAGCAAGAGTACAATGGCTGCCAGTGGTAATTCGTTTATAATGTCCACGGCCCCGCCACCGGGAAGCTTGACTAGGCGACGCGGCAGTGATCGTAGTCTAAGCGGTTCCGCTCATGAGCTGGCGGTAATGGGTGTGAACAAGGATAGCAGCTCCAAGGTGCCACATTCTCATTCGCAGAGTAATCTAAGTGAGATACCGTTCAGGTAAGTGAGCCCATCCCCCCAAAAAAAATCCACCAATACACAAAAATAATTAACAATAAATAAATCATAATGCGCTTTTTTCTCAATGGATTGACATAATGAGATTGGTTGTTAATTTGGTTTTTTTCTTTTCTCTTTTTTTAATTTTCACAATTGGTTGGTATCGATTTTAATTTTCCATTTTAATTTTAATTAATAAAAAATAATTATTGTTGTTTTTTGGTTTTTCCACTCATGTTGCATTTTGTCATGAAAAAATATTTTTTAAATAAAAAAAAATACAATCAAATCATCATTTACACAAAACACCAATACCACTACAAACAATAAATAAATCCTGGTACCAACAACAAATAGTGACAGTGTTTATCGGGGTGATATGCCACCACCGCCGCCTACCTCTCAAGAAACCCTGTATTGCGAACAAAAATTAAAACGTCTAGTCCAGGAATATGGAAATCTCGAAACAAATTTAGCGGCACACCACCACGACTATCATCATCAGTAAGAGTTCCCTGCAACCAAAAAATTCTAACCATTTTTTCTCTCTCTACTAAGCCTTGCTTTGGCAAAATGTTTTTTCTTTTACTCTACTTCTAATTTTGTAAAAATCACTTTGTAATTCTTTTTTTTTTTTTGTAAAATCCATTTTTTTCTACTTGTTGTTGTTGCTGTTTGTTGTGTGCTCCAAAAACAAATGTGCTCTTCTAAATGTTTTGTAAAATAATTAAAAAAACAAAAAAATAAGCCTCTGTCCTATACCGCCACAAAATGTTCGTCAAATACTCTCTGAAAATAGTAACACTACCTCCTTGCTATCACTTTTCTCCATTTCAATCTACCATTTTATTTTTTTATTCAAAAAAAAAAATAAATAAATAAATAAATATAAAAAATATAAATGTTGTTTATTTTCTTTTGTTTACAAAAATTTCTCATATTTTGCTAAAAAAAATTAATTGTAAAAAAAAATCAGAAAATTCAATGCTGTTCTTTACTTGACTATAACGTGTAGTGTTCTACAATACTTACGAAGGTTGCTACATATTTTCGAATAATGAAACAAAACAATTGAAAAAGGCGTTAAGTTCGGCCGGGCCGAACTTTGGATACCCTCCACCATAGGTATACTAACAGATACTAGCATCGAAAATGTAGGGTACATACCCAAAAGTGGACTTATACTGAAAATTCAATGTATACCAAATTTCACACAAATTTCAGCAATTTTTAATGGAATTTTTTCCTAAAAACCCCAGAAAGTGGTCCTATATTGACGGCCCATGGTAGGGTGCAATTAAAATGTTTCCAAAATACTGCAACTAAGAGGTCACAGTTATATAAGGTCATCACCAATATACACAGAATACATTTCTTTGCGTTCTATAGTTCTATAGTCTGAGGTTAGGCAATATTTCGCGATATTTGCACCTTCTTGACCGACCAGAGGTCAACAAATATTACTAATACTCAGTACGGCCATTCTAATTACTTGTCCAGATTCCCTTAACGCTGGATTGTGTTGTGATGTTTGGCTTTCAATAGTGGCCTATAGATCGACTAAAAACCAGTAAGGAAAGTAGTAAAGTCGGACGGGGCCGACTATATGATACCCTTCACCACTTTGGGTATATTCAACCGATGAATCCTAAGAGTTGTCGCATTTTTGAAGGACCAGTAAAATGAAATTGGATCCATAAACATGCCATTCTGCAACCTATACTAAATTTTTGCAACATATACTAAATTACTTATTTTAAAATAGGACGGAAATATACATAAAAGCTATATCAAAATCTAAACCGATTTCATCGGAACTTGTCCCAAGTTATGTTATACTAATTTCAGTATGTTTTGTGCATATCAGAAAGATTTTAAGATCTTGGTGCATCATTTACTAAAAATTGGGAGATAATATATATGGTAGCTCTATCCAAATTTAAGCCGATTACACCAAAACTTTCCAAATTTTAGGGACTTTGATAAAGAATGATATATAAGGACTTTGTTATACCATTTAATTAAGTCGGCCGAAAATATATGTGGGAGCTATATTTAAATCTGAACCGATTTGCATGAAATTTAACACGCATCGCTCTAGACTTAATTCAGTACGCTATGCCAAATTTCGTGCAAATCGATGGATATATAGGGGCTTTGGTGCACTATTTACCTAAAATCCGACGAAAATATATGTGGGAGCATTATCTAAATCCGAACCGATTTTCATGAAATTCAACACGCATCGGCTTTGGTGCACTATTTACCTAAATTCGGATGGAAATATATATGGGAGCTATATCTAAATCTTAAACGATTTTCACGAAATTTTACACACATCTTTCTAGATTTAATTCAGTACGCTATGCCAAATTTCGTGCAAATCCAAGGATATATAGGGACTTTGGTGCACTATTTACCTAAAATGGGAGGAAAATATATATGGGAGCTATATCTAAATCTGAACCGATTTTCACGAAACTTGGCACACATCATTCTGGACCTAATTCAGTACTCTATGCCGAATTTCGAGCAAATCGAATGATATATAGGGACTTTGGTGCACCATGTACTTTAAATCGGACGAAACTATATATGGGAGCTATATCTAAATCTGAACCGATTTTCTCGAAACTTGGCAGACATCATTCTAGACCTAAATGTTTAGGCTGTACCAAATTTCGTGCAAATCGAAAGATATATAGGGAAATTGGTGCACCATTTACATGAAATCGGACGAAACTGTGTATGGGAGCTATATCTTAATCTGGACCGATTTTCTCGAAACTGGGCAGACATCATTCTAGGCTCAATTCAGTACGTTATGCCAAATTTCGGGCAATCGAAAGACATATAGGGACATTGGGGCACCACATGCATGAA